GGCTTGAACTCGGGTGAAGGACGGCATACCTATACTAAGATGTGTATATAGGTATATAATACCTCCGCCGCAGAGAGAGAGAGCGAAAATCGCGACTTGGAATCTAAGAACAAAATAGTCGCGCACCATTATTATCATAATCATCTTCAGGGTCGGCTTTGACGTCAAGTATATATAGCTAAAGTAGAAGCAGCGCAGCGCGCGCTCGGGGCTTAACTATACAAGCGTTAACGCGTATACACGCATACATATATGCGCATACACTAAAAAATCATTAGACCGCATTAACGAGAGTAACACATGCAACGGCAAGATTACTTATTTATGTGTGCTTGCAATTGGACGATGCGCTGGCATTTTCGAGATGATCGTGCGAAATGTTTTTTATACTTTCCCTGAGATAACTCGAGCTCTGTAATTTCACTTTGACACGAAGATCTTTACGTTTATTTTCTTTTGTCTTATTATTTGTATTTTATATTAATACAATACAAAATGATTTTTGTAATATTAAATTACGGCAGCTGTGGCTCCTTACAGCTCTCGATCGAAAGCTCTCGTGAGCGGGCGCGTATTACACGTACACGAATGTGCTTACGTGCGCGCGCGGCGCCAATAATATTAATGAGATTTTCAAGAAAAACGAATTCCCAGCGTAATAATCTATTTATCCGCGTGGCCCTGCTGAGTCATAATGGAAAGCTTGCGCCAAACACAAAATTGCTGCATGATACACACGATATATAATAAAAAGGTCAGCTAGATGTTGTCGAAAAAAATATGTACAATTTAAAATCTATAAAGCTCGCAAAAATGTGGAATGCAATACGGTATTTAATATAAGAGTTTTATCGATCAAATATTTAACAGTGTAAACTACGGGCGAGAAACTCCGAACACATAGAAAATATTATTCTCGTTGTCGTCGAAGGAAACATTAATAACGTCGAATTTCAGCGCGTGGATAGCCCCGAGGCAGCAAATTTTATGAAACAGAAAGAAAGTTTGACACGATCGCGCAGCAGTGGTTGCAGCAACAGCAGCAGCAGCAGCAGTCGGACAAAGAAAAAAACGCTTCGAGAGCTTTTTTACAGAATAGCTCTCGGTGTATTGTATTATAACGTATATCATTGTATATAGAGATGTCCACCAGCTGCGAGCGAAGCTTTCAAGACCGCCCGCTGCTAACCGCGTTTAGATTACAGATTTCATATGTGTGCGCGCGATACAACACGTGTAGCACCGGAGAAAGTGCGAATTGTATCTTTTTTCTCCCAACGCCGCGATATACTTTATCACAGCCAGGCTTCGTATAATTTTTCCTTTTCACGTATGAAAGCTGCGAGTACGCGTGAATTTTTTTTCTACTTTTGCACTCGAGCTCTCGATGGAAGGGAAAAAAATTACCCGAGAGAGACGCAAACAGAGCGATAAAGAGCCAAGTTTATAGTGATTTAGCAAAACTTAAAATCGATCGCAAAAAAGCATTCTAATCGTACGTATAAAAAAATGGCGCTCACTAAATCAAGTTTTAAAGACGAACAATAATTGAGAAAGCAAAAAAAAGTAACGAGATGAGAGAGCGAATTTCATTTGCGCAAGTTAATGCGCGACGTTCTTTAAAAAGATTAGTCCGTTTTTACTCAACTTCGACTAGTTTTATTATAGCCAGAATGTACGCGCGTAGATATATATGGATCCTTTTGTAACGTTGCAACGACGACGCATCCTCGATCCTCCTCGAAGCGTACGTAGTGCACGTAATTGAAAAAAATGTAACGTCCCCTTTTTCTTGGCTAGCAGTAGTGCGCCGTCGTCGTTACACCGCTGCATGTGTCGCGCGCATATATGGATTTATAGAAACGCAATCAGCTCGAAAGCTTCGGATTCTTCGACTTCGGGGTTTTGTATTCGCGTGTGTGCCTGCTGCAGTACATGCAATACTTTGCAATTGTTGCCACTGCTTTCCGTATGTATACGTTCAAGAGCTGCCACGTACGTTATGTACATATGTGTGACTGTGTACACGTCGAGAGCGCGACTCTTTTTCTTCGCGAGCAAAATTTTTTAATACTATACGCGCGCTCGCCTCGGAAACGTGACCAGTTGCGTCAGACGACGCTCGATCACCTCTATATACATGTATACGTGCTGTGTACACCTCATGCTGCTGCTGCTCGAGCCATGCTCTCGAATCCAAATATTGGAAATTCATAAAACGCAAAGGCGCTAGAGTTGTGCCGTGAGCTGCACTACCACGGCACTGGCGCGCGACAGTCGAGTTATATTTTCTTTTTTTTTTCATTTCTTATCCCACCACTACCACCGACGTTGTCACTGCTGCTGCGCAAAAAATGTGACGAAGTAGTAGTAATATAGCATAAGGCAGATATCAAATTTTATAATAAGAATTAAAAATATGTGAGCGATCAGGCCGCGCGCGCGCGCATTATGTAATGATTAATATCGTCGCTCGCGCGCGCAGACAGCAGCAGCTGCATACAAGCGAGACGACACTAAGACCGCGACAACGACGATTGTGTCGCAGCAATGACGCGCTCGGCTGCAAAAGCGTGCGCGCAATTTTTAATTCAAAAAGAGGAAAAAAATGAGGAGAGAGACGTTTCATACACACAAAGACGAAAAGAAATCGAATATCACGGACAGGTAAAGGATAGAGACTCACGCAATACCTACAGAAAGAGAGAGAGAGAGACGAGTTCTGCAACGAGCGATACATTACACGCACGAATGCGTCTTTATAGACCGCCGTTGTGCTGCGCTTAGGCAATAGAGGAGCTTCGGTATCGCGTACCGTGTGTACGTCATTGCAGCTCTACGATCGGGATTCGCATCTCATTCTTTTTCTCTCCTTCTTCTTTTTTTTTATTGTTCGCAAAGCGAAGGCGGCCAAAACGGAGCAAGTCAAAGACCGACTCGCATGCATGCATACATCCTAGAATTAACGCCAACTTCCTTGTATATTCAACTAAGATTCTTGTCTGTCTTCGATGTGTTAACCTACGTCTGCATCATATGAATGACGATCTCTTATCCGTTGGTTTTTTTTAATTTTAATTTTCAATGCCAAAACGTCACGCCGAAATACCGGGGCGATAGAAAATCACGGTTATAGTTTTTTTTATATACTTTTTCGTGAATGAGCCGAAATTCCTCTTAATTCCGCCGACGCTGCCGCGAGTGATGATGTTTGTACAACTGAATAAATTACCCTTCTGCTCCCGCGCGCCATACCGATACGCTTGTGTATATCGACACTCGTGCTTATGTACTATGATTTATCGACGTGTTCCGAAATTATTTCGCTTATGATACATGCGAGTTTTTTTTTTGTTATTTTACGAATTACCGCATTTGATTCTTCGAAATCAACGTCACTCGCAAGTATCGTGTATGTCTGGCGCTCGTTCAAACAAAAGGGCGTCCCCGGTGTGCAAGTGCTCGCTCGCTCGTGTTTCGCATATTCCCGCATCTTCTCTCTCACCGCAGAGCATGACTCATGGCAGGTAAATATTAAGCGGTATTCGCATTCCGCCGAAAACAAAAAATCCAGTGACGTTCGTGCAGCGCAGTCCGCGGCGCTGAGAATCCATGTATCAGCGGAATGAGGAAGAAGAGCGACTCTCGTAAAATAGCCTTTATTAATGGTAAGCAAAAAAAATCATAGTTCCATAATCGTCGCGCGCGCGCGATCTCGTAAGGAAAATCAACGCGAACTATTCAACGTTGATTCGCGACCACCGACACGCGTTAATTGTATCTTCTTATTTTTTTATCCGCGCGGTAGCTATGTTAATGTTGCACGCGCACGTCATTTTTTCTTTTTGTTTTTTTCATTTGGGACGTCGTTATCAAACCCAAAAGGTGTTGAAAGACGATCAAATTTCATTAAAAGCGTGCTGCTCATCTCGAGAAAAACCGACGCTTTTTTCCCCGTAGCGCCGTCTCTCTTTTCTACCATCATCATCATCATCATCATCATCATTTAATTCCGTGATGGAGCAAAATAAATTATTCGCCGCGCTCGCACTACACAATACACCTACACGCACACGTACAGGCACACACTCATACACACTGTACGCCGCTATCAATTATATACCCTCGCAAAAGTGCACATCACTTAATCATCGACTTTCCGAGTTAGACACAGCATACATTCATATACACACACACGCACATAGACACTGCTTGGTACGATGGCATAAGTGCTATCCTGTCGCCTCGCGTATATGTATGAGCTCCTGCGCGCATCCTTTTCAAGGATAAATTACTTCTTGTCTTTTGAGCTTGCTACGCGCACGTATGTGTGTATGAGAAGTCGTGTGATTAACGATTTGCCCGCGAGCAAAGAGAAAGATGCCCCGTGCGTCGTGCATCAATACGCGATTAATATACAAATAATGTACAAGGCGGGTGTACAAAAAAAATACGAGATTGAAGCGACAAAAGACGCGTCGGACTTATAAGCGAGCATGAATCTTGACTTGAAATGATTTTCTGCTCGGGAAACAGTTTGTAAAATGGATTAGTAATTTACCCACTTTTAACTGCAGTAAATGACCACTTTTGGACTTGGTAATAATAATAATACTTTCTTCTTGGCATACGACATTTCTACTTATAAAATTATAATATAATTAAAATATTAGGGTCGATTACCCCAGTTACGCGATTGCGGTTGCGAAGCGCGAAGCGAAAGCGAGAAAAAAAATCGTTATAAATAATGATAACGCGAATCGACGCCCAGTATTCACGTTTTGTCGCATCCCTCGGTCGTTGAAAGTTTTTTCCAAACCGAGTTAAAAGCGTTGTTGCGAGATAAAGAGGCAACGGAAACGTATCCGCGATTGTCGCGTCGTTGCTACTCGCGATAAACGCGCGGAAACAATAGCTTTTATCGAGTCGTAGGAAATATAATATAAAATGAAAAACGGAGTAAAATAGAGTTGTGTTTATTGTATATCTGAGCTACTTACGGTTTTGGACGATAGGCAGGCGTCGTTGAGATAAAGATGATGAGTCTCCCAGCGTCTCAGAAATCGACTCGACAGGATCTTGCTGACGAGGGTCCTGGCGTGATTCAGATAACACACCTGAATGTCACCCTCCTCGACGGGTTTGAATCTCGGCCCCGAGCTCGGTATCGGACTCGAAGAACCCGATGCACTGAAAAATCCGGCGCTCTGTCGCTCGAGATTGGGACAGCTGCGCGCCACCGGCAGGCAGCCACTCGCCTCGAGACCGGTGTCGGGCTTGAGCAGCGACTTGAGCGCCACGGTCTCGGTGCTGCTGGCCCTGTGCTCCTCCTTGAGCGAACTCGTCTCGTCGGGCAGGCTCGTGGTGCTCTGGGCCTCGTCGTCGTGGCAGCGCGTGGCGAGCTGGGGCGAGCTCGTGCTCGTGCTCTCCTGTCGCATGGCTCCGCCGTTAACCGACAGGAAACCGTAATAGGGCACTGGGACGCTCGTCGCCGTAGCCAGGCCCACCGTGGCCGGTGCGGCCGGACTCGAGGGCAGCGACGAGACCTCCTCGGGCTCGGCGTCGTCGATCGGGCAGGTGACTACGTCATCGTCGTCGTCGTCGTAGTCGCTGAAGGCATTCTCGTGTTTGCGCCGGCCGATCAGCAGACTGGCCGAGCCGTGGAGGCGCCTGCGTCGCGGCGACAGCTTGTTCTTGGCCAGCAGCTGATTGCTGGAGTGGTGGTGCTGGTGCTCGGCGTGCTGGCGCGAGTGCAGACAGGAGGACTCGCTGGCGGGCGAGGGCGACGAGCTGTTGGCCTCGCTGTTGGACGAGTCGGTGGAGCGCAGTCTCAGCAGGAGCTTGCGCCGCCAGTGGCCGTCGGATTTGCCCGTACCGCTTGGACCCGAGTTCAAGTCGCCGACGCTGCTGCCGAGCTTCTCCACGTGTCCCGTGCTGCCGCCGTGCACGCTGCTGCAGGGACTCCCGACGAGGGTGTCCTCGTCCTGGCTATTGGTCCGATTGTTGGTCTCGTCGCTCGTGAACACGATGGTGGGCGAGGCCAGCGATGACTCGGGCCCACCCGGCGACAGGATCGACTCGGCGTCGAGAAAGTCCCCCGCCCGGATGCCCGGCAATGTGTCGGTGCTGCTGGCCTCGGACAGCTGATCGATGTAACGTATCGACGAGGAGCCCGAGTCTTCGCTCGTTGCCTCGCTGCCGCGACGTTGCTGCTGTCCGTTCTGCGTCTGTTGGCCGTTTGGCTGTTGCTGCTGCTGCTGTTGCTGCTGTTTCGACTTCGAGCCGAGCTTTGGATTTAGGGGACTACCGACGACGCTTCGCGTAGCGCGCGAAAACGGATTTTGAAAACAGTACATGATTCGTTTCTGTTATATTGTTTCTGTTATCTATGTTTCTTACGGCTTTTTTTTTTAATGATATCTATCACTCGCGCACAAAGACACTTGTTACTATATGTTATATGTATACACGCGATAATACACCAACAATGATACACGTTTGTTTATTCGCGCACGTGTGAGTCTCTGTGTGTTTGTGTGTGTTTCGATGAGTGGGAGAGAAGAGAGAGAGAATAGGTGTCATACACAAGAGCCGCGCGCGACGTCAACAGGCTGTGTGCTGGTGGCGACTCTGCAGCTCTCCGTCCCTCTCCGTTGCGACTCCTCTCTATATATATATATATATATATTTCACCAAAGTTGTGTGCTATATAAACGTATATATATCACACACACCGAGAATATAGCAAAGCTGCGCGCAAGAGCAGAGCCAGAGAGTAGGAGTGAGAGCGAGAGTGTGTCAGCTGACGAGTAAGCTAAGTAGGCCAGCGGTGCTCATGTTAACGACCGGCTGCTGCTGCTCTATGTATTACGTGCAAAATCTCGTGCATCACATCGCAGCACACACGAATACATACACGCACTCACGTACACAGAGAGCAGAGTCGAGCCCGCTGCTGCTGCTGCCACTGCCTGTGTAGGTCAACCTGCGCGATCCGTGTGTTGTTGCCTCTCGCTCTCGCAGCTGCTTCTGATGCTTCTGTCTATATACTGGCGCTTGTATATTATGTACGGAAGCTGGGAAAACGATAGCGCACCGAGCTGAAGAGGTGGAGGGAGGGCCCCGCGTATGTGTGTATGTGAGTGTGTTAAAGCTCACGCGGCTCCTTCACGCAAAGAGAGAGAGAGAAAGAGATCGATGGGAAGAGTGAGAGCAATTTTTCGATACACACACACCCACCGGAGAGACTTTTCCGTCTCTCTTCGCAAGCTCGAGACTTCTCGGCACAAAGTTGGCAGGCGGGCAGGCAGGCTGGCTGGCTGCTGGGGTTGAGAGAGCGTCTTTCTCGCGCCCGCTAAACTGAGCTTAACGCGCTCGTGCTATATATTATACACATATATCGCGCGCGCTCACGTATTTTATTATACGTGACGATCGATTCCCCAAAGCTCGATGTTGGCTTCTAATGCTGACGCCTTGGGAATACGGTCTCTTGCCAATGCTCGGAACTTACTTCGCTGCTCGTGATCGGTGAGCCGAGCGTGCTGGCGATCGACTGCGCGGGCTCGCGCTCCAAATTATACTCCTGCTCCTGCTGACAACGATAACAATAATTTTGACTTCTCGTCTTCGTGACGCAGCTGCTGCACGTCGTCGTCGTCGTCGTCGCAGCGTTCAACAACAACAACAGCATGTCGTCGTCCGTTTGTCGTAGGGCGCCTTGGTCGATGATCGTCGTGCTACTTGCATCGCTGACACTCGCGAGCATCGCGCGAGTTTACATACGTAGCGCGTACATCGATGGTGGCTATTCTCCCACCACCCCCAAGAGCAAGACGACAGACACGTGTGCACACGACGCAGGCCTTTTACTTTTTTATTTTTACTTTTCGAGCTTTTCTTCTTTTTGTTTTGGGTTAGCCGTGCACAACGAACGAAACGATCGTGATGATATGCACGTATACACACTGCAACACTGGTGGAAGCGCGTATATAAATGGACGCACGCACTGCTACGACGGGCACACTTTGTTTAACATTTATTATTGAGCTTTTTATACACCCCTGGTGTCACTTTCGCCGATACTTTTGTTGTCCGACTTTTGAACTTTGGCGAGCTTTGTTTATAATCCTGCCTCGCGGTACAGAGGAATCAAAGACAGCTTCAAACTGTATATATGCAGGCACTTAACCCAATTTCGCTCACTCTCGCTCGCAAGTCGTCGACGTCGTCGTTAAGAGATTGAGCTTGCAGCAGAGAGCACAGTGTGTAGCGGACGCATTAGCGCGCGTACATAATTATTTTTTAACTCGTTAAACGCGCAACTCGAGAAAAAGATCATACACGGCACAGGAGTACAGTGCAATGAGTAAGAGAAAAATAGAAAGAGAAAAATGCGAGCTTTCACTCGCACACAAAGAGAAAAAGAGAGAGAGGGAGAAAAAAGCTCGCGGATATATGTTCGCGAAAAAAGGCAAAGAAATTGGGTAAAAGGGGGACAACGACTCGAGCTCACCGAGAGTTCATGGACTACGTGTGGGTTGGTGTGTGTGAGTGAGCGCTCACTACTGCTGCGAGGAGGAGGCGTTATAGGTCGCTCGAGCGATATAACGTTTCGCGCGCGCTGCTTGCACTGCACACAGCACTGGTTCTGCTACTGCTCTGATACTGCTTCTGCTGCACTGGGACTTTTATTATACTATAATATAATGCGTTATAATACGTGTCCAAGAAGCTCTGTGGTTCACGCACGCACTGCGCCTAGAGCTTTTTTTGAGTTTCGGAAGAGCTCGCTACCGCTCGACTCGAGAGAGAGAGAGAGAGAGAGAGCGCGTGTACTTGCTCGTACAACGATAACAATGATAACGCTATACTGCGTCGAGAGTCGAGAGAGAGAGGAAAAGATTACGTATGTAGAGAGCGAGTAACTTAGGTAGGAATGCGAATCGACGTTGGTCGTGTGCGCCTGCGACGGCGGCGAGCGCACAACTGGCAACTGCCTGACTGCGCGAAACTGCCTGTAGCAGCAGCAGTAGCAAAGCAGCAGCGCGACGTACACAGACTGTGCCAAGCGCATATATACGTACATGCTAGGATATAAAAGAGTCGCGTGTGCGCGTACGTATACGTATATGCACGTGAACGGGAGGAGGTGGTGGTGGTGTGGCGACGTCGACGACGACGACGACAACGACGGCGGCCCCCCGACCGACGACGATAGTAGTCGATAACACCCGCGCGTACGCTTGTGCCCAAGAGGAAAAGAGAGCTTGTGTTGTTCCGCTGCGCTACTCAATACTTTCTCCTCTATTTTTTTCCCTTTTCTGTCTCTATTCTTCAGTTGCTCTCCCATGCTGTACCGAAGGAATACAGAGCTCTCGATGACGACGCCCCGGCTGCACACCTGCGAGCTAGCTCTAGTGCTGCGACGCAAATTGTTTACATGATCTGGCCCCTGTAGCTCACTCGAGGGCTGCGGTGCTTTTTCTGAAAACTTTTTTATTTTTATTTTTCATCGGGTAAAAAGCACCGGAGCTTTTTACTGCCGCTGCTGCTGCTGCTTTACTGTTTGTATTTGCCCGTTGTATACAGATTTATGATGGGGGTGGACTTTTGCGCCAATCGGTATATGTACATACGCGCGTATGTATATAAACGCGTTTGCTTGACCTACTGTTGCGTACGACACGTATTATATGAACCAGTTTCGCGTATATATACGCGCGTTGTTGTTAAATAGCAGTAGCCGAGCATAGAAAAAGTTACGGTTATTGCAGGTGAACCTTTTTTTCAAGGAAACATTTTTACGAGCATGCAATTGTAACAGGTTTTAATGTATTTTTTAGATCTTAAAAATTCCTTGCTTTTCTTTTATGGTTCGTTGAAAAATCGATTTTCGATGAAAAAGAGTGCTCAAGCGCATTCGAAATGAATTTTTAATCGCTTATTGAAAATACGAGCTTGTCAGTACACAATCTCGTACAAAGCACTTTTTATTATTACAAAAACATCGAGGCTCGATCAGTCGCGCGCGCGGATATCTCATTTTTACGCGAAAATTTTCAAGTGTGCTCCACGCCACGCGCGCGCGGCATGTAACGCTAAAAAGCTGAATGACGCGCGATATCAGTTCTCGACTAGAGTGGATCCTTCAACAAACATCTGTTTCGTACGCGCCGCAGTTTTTGACAAATGAGAGCCAGTCTCACTCGCTCGTATTATTATGAATGAAGCACGTCGCACAGAAATTTCCTAAGCTACTCTACACGTCACGTTAATTTCCGATTGAGCGCGGCATTAAAATATTAACCTTTACGCCGCTGCCCGCCCCCCAGCCGTTTGCATTGCTTCGCGGCGCGGCGCAATGTTGTTTACCCAAAAACTAATGATTTTTTAGTCTCGTGATTAATCGAGACAGGCAAAACAACATCGACGAGGCTCGTCGGTAATTTGACCCGCGTTATCTCGAGAATGAACGAAAACTTCTTTCCCGACGACGCGCGAACGCGGATTTTGCCGCGAGCCTGGCCGGAAAGAAATTCGTCGACGTGGGTGGCAAACGTGATATTTTACAAGTCATGTTTGCAGTCTCAATGACGCGTGTTTACATGGGAAATGTTTTTTTTTCGTGTAGCCAAAGCACTTGGTGTGACGATCGGATTAGCCAAAAAAAAAAGTAAATTTGCGTTGAAGCGCTTCCATAGTATTACGTTTAGTGTGTCACTTCCATTTTTAGTCTAACACTTGTTGAAAAACAATTGTTTGATTATGATGATAAAAAATTACTGATCCCTTATTCGAAAATAGTATTTAAAATTAGAACCGTAGACGACAAAATCATTATCTCTTTATGAATTATTATTCTTCAAGTAAAGCTTATGAAAGAAAAAAATTAGTAAGAGCTTAGTAGTACAGTAGTCAGTAAGTACTACTTGATATTTGAAAAAGAGGTATAGTTTTCTGTAGAAGCTACTTGAGTGGTAGTGCTATTTCGGCGAAGAATCAACAAAATTGAGCTCGATATAAGTATAGATCCAAGTTCAGAATTTTTTAAAGGGATAAACCACCCTAGAACTTTTTAAAATCAAATTTTGTTTTGACTTAAAAAGTTTTTCAATATTTCAAAAGTACTCTGAAAAATTTTCGAGCATGGTTCTATAAGTGCCCGAATTCTGTATGTACGAGGGCTATGGTAGTTCTTCGCGTTCATCTCTTTTTGTATTTATAATGATGGATTTTCGTCAATCATGAGCATAATGGAAGTGATGGATATGAAAATCGGACCGATCGTTTATGATTTGTTCCTCGAAGTCGACGCTAAACGATTTAAAAAAGCGAAAAGATCCTTGTCTGAGGTTGTGAAAGAGGCCAGAATAAAGTCAAGAACTTGCAGCAAAAAAGACACTTGCAGGATGAGGACATCAACTTTGAAGGTCAACTGTACGGTGCAGAAATTGCAGACTAAAGATATACTTAATTTATATTTCCTTTTTTACTATAGAAAACTTTAAACGCTTTTTTCTCGAATTCACCTTTTCAAAGTCAGACTGTCAGACTTCAATCTGTGTTCTTTACATCTTTGAATACTAGCTCTTCATCAGAAAGAATTTCTAGCAAACTTCTCTGCAAACGATTTTAAGAAGGAATGAGTTAAACTCTTTGAAGTTTAAAGAATGTTTACTTTTGAATTGTCAATTCTTAATCTGTAATCTGTGGACGAGCTTTGATTTTTGTTATTATTATTATACGAAGAGGTGAGGTAGGTAGAAAATTAAGTTGGCATCTAGTTGCTCTGTTGTGTGAACTAGCATCTTGCTGCTAGAACCCGTCAAGATGATACACCTTAAATAAATATATAATGAAGATATTAAATGAATGTTTTGATATGAGTGAAGCGTTGTCCGTATACGCTACTATGATAACGGACTATTTCGATGTATTCTAAGATAACTTTCTATTTTGTATACAACTGAGATGATTGATTCGAGCATTGTATTGTGTATGTCGCTGAGGAGTACTTCGTAAAACAAAAAAAAACTCCGTCGTGAAGATCGAGTAAAATCATGACTTCCAATTCACTGATATATAAGCATGCAGGTAAATATATATTATTTTAATAAAATTCATTATTGAAATTTCTATCCCTTTTAGAAATTGTCAAAACTAATCATATTAAAAATGATTCTTCCAGGGTTATCTTAAAAACACAGACAAATGCAACACAAAGCTAATTGATTTTCCGCAGCTTTGATAAAATTTTCAACTTCAATATTTTTTTATACTTTATATTGATATAAATGTTGCATAGTATATTACTGCCCTAGGCCGCGAAAAACAGAAAAGTCCCAGAGTACGTGTAATTAGTGGCCGAGGCGAAGCCGAGGCCGATAAACACGTGCTCTGGGGCTTTCTTTTTTTGCGGCAGAGGCCTGTATACTATTTTTCATACACAGTGGCCTGAAAATCGCTCTTCCCGCTTTGCGCAGCGGCAGGGAAGTAGGCACTTTCGGGCCGCTGGTATGAAAATGTAATGTTTTGGGGCCTTGAATTTTCGTATTAATATATACGTACCTAGTAAACCAAATTCACATTTCATTATTCATTTTTTACATTACTAAAATATATTAATTTATAATCAGTCCACCAAGCAATTTCCCACTGTTTGCAATGATTTATTATTATTCGAGGATTATAACTAAAAAATATTTCTGTCTATGTGATTTCACTTATATGATACGACATTGTTTAGAAAAATATTGCACTTGATGTTTTTACCAAAATATTCAATGACGCACACAATAGGCAGTGTTGATAAGAGCGCTCGTGCAGATACGATTTTTGCTTTATTGTCAGCTGATATTTATCGGTGTAAAAACCGGCAGTTGAACGATTATTAAGAATTTTTCATTTTTAAAAGCTAAATTGTATTTCGACCCTTTGAATACCGGCATTTGAGGAATTTTAAAAGATAATTATTTCTATAGAAAAATCATCGGAGGCCTAAAATATTTATCAAACTAATGTCCAATATCTCGAGGTCAATGAACTAATGTCATTTGTCATATACTACAAAAAATTTTAATTCCGCTTCAAAATTGAAATGTAGCAAATATCTCACAAAAATATATAATATACTTGATTGGATATACTATCTTTCCGAAGTAAAGAGCAGAGTAGCTCCTCAAATCTTCCTGATATTTCTTGCAGTATTGATATTCTATCAATCCTATTACATACGTACGGGTTTCCTCACAGTAGCTCACATGCGATTCTTCGGTAACTATACCTTTTTCTCTTGGACGATTGACCACGATAACTTTTTATCCATTTTGCAGATGAAGCTTTGACGTTCTTTGTAAGCACATTGAGCTACGGTTTGATGATTGTACCAGCTGGTATACTAGCCACTAATTGGAATGCCACAAAACTTTTATGTCTGAGCATTGCTGGAATCGGTCTGTTGCACTACATTCGAGCAGTTTTTAAATTTGATATCGATACAGATCCCGAGTCCACTTTAAGTATCGTGGGTTTTAATTTACTTTTTGGGGTAATTGAAGCGCCGATCCTACCTTGTGTTTACGTACTCTTGTCGCGCATGATATCGCCTCGGCATCGGACGACCGTTGGTAAGCTTACACATTTATATTTGAGAACAATATCTACCAATACTATTATAAATGATCCTTATCTACTTTTAGCTTCATTGGTTTTATCCGCAAAGCAGTTCATCGTACTCTTTACCCTTGGCATTGCCCTTCTTTCAAGCATCAATGGTTTTGGCTCAGTTGACGCCCGAACACAATTAGTTTTTGGAATATCCGATGTGATTTGGAGTATAGTATACAATTTTGCGGGATCAAACTGCGACGTGGAATTCGTAAACGAAGCTCCGTCGTTCAAGCCAAAAATACCATGGAGCTCGATGCTGTCATCGTTTGCTGTCTGGACATTGATTATGTCTCACAAGACTTCCTTTGCTTTGCATGAAATGATCTTTTCAGACGAAGTAAGATATTTGGTTTTCTTTCTTTTTTAACCCAGCGCTAATTTTTAACAATTATATTTTCAGTATGAATATCCATTTGAATTACCAGATGCGCTGCGTTTTATTAAGAGCACATCTGCGAGGTTTTCACTCTTAATTCTGGGTGGAATCGGGTCGAGCTATCTGTCGGACGCACTTGTAGCGCAAAAATATTTAACAAGACTCAGAGCACGAAAGATCTTCAATTTCCTTGCTATTTGTGTACCAATAACAGCATGTGCACTAATTTCAATCAAATATGAGCTCTTAGACAGAATCGGATGGACATTCATACGGCTCATTTTAACAGGATTAATAAGCTTTCAGAGCAGTGGTTTTATGTTCAATCATATGGACTTGAGTCCGTATTATGCAGGTATTCTCATCGCTATTACAGAAGCTAAGAATCAAATTTTCAAAAGTTTGGTGCTTCTGATCTTTATCTATTACGTGAGTATTACGTGAATATAATCAAATTTTTTAAACATAAATGCAAATAACATTACCGAGCTTTCTTTTTTTTTCAGAAATTTGAAAGAATATCGACCACATTTATAACATTTATATTTTTCATTCACCCAGTTTGTACGAGTATCTTTTTCATAATTTGCGGTAAAGTAAGTATCCAGGACAAGTGGAGCCTAGTTCCATTATCGTATCAAAACCGGAATAAATTGGACATGAATTTATAAGAAAAGAAAAAATGAAACGAAAACACTGAAATCTAAGAGTAATCATCAGTTTCAGTTCTGATGATGCTAATTAGTGTTGAAAATTTTTATGTACACATTCAAATTAATTGTATTGTGTATTTAGATGATTGGGCGCACGTGGACATTTATTGAGAATTCATACAAATTGTTCAACGACGCTTGATTCGAAATCTAATTTTCGAACCTGTCACGTTGCTTCCTCTAGAAGGAAGCAAAAAACGATATCGTCATGATTCAAATGTGCGTAATTTATATCCCGATTTTACCATTATGCCTTAAACCAAAAACAATCGGAGGTTCAGCACTTTTACGAAAAAAAAAAGTTTTATCACGTGAATATACAGACTCATTGACGTCAAGCACGTTACTGCGATCGTGTTCAACTTGACGAAATTCTTTTCAAATATCGTATAGTTGTTTCACAATGCATTCGTTGAATGCTTTATGATAAAAAAAAATTTCGCAAGTTGTCAATGAAATCTTACAAAGACTTTTAAAAAATATAAACTATTCACTATATTAATATCGATGATGTAAATTGTATATCAAATTTTAAAATACTCGCATATAATTTTTAAGAACAATGAAACGTTTATTGGTAGATAAATAATTTCCATTCAAATGCAATATCCCATTGACAGATCACATAGAAAAAATATTTATCACAACATTTGTATAAATATAATTACATCAACGATTCAAAAAATCACAGTATTCGGATGCGTCAAAATAAGAATCTCTATTGTTTTTTATCGACTGCACCTCACAAGGGAAGGTGCTTCAGTTCCTGTGGTAGTTTAATCTCGGCTCTTTTGTATGACATCCATTCCTCAATCTCCTCAACCCTGCAATATATAGATGAAAAAGTAAATGATAGTACATCTCTTAGGTTTGTTTTATCGAAATTAAATTTTTCACAACTAATTACGAGTTAATTTCTAGAAATTAATCCTCTTAATCAGTTTTAACTACGAATGATTATATCAATAAATGTCAATAGAGCAATAGAAATTATATAGAGTATGGAATATTGTTATAGCGTATAATCTAAAATATGAAATTTTATACGACTCGTAGAAATTGTTATACTGACGCAAGAGCAATATAATTTCAAAATCTTTTTTACGTCATAAGCTTTTTATTTTATAGATGGTTATATTACGACCCTGAAAATAGCTCTTATTATTAGAAAACAGTGATTAAGTGATTGTTTATGCGTGATGTAAGTAGTTACCTCCGGTAAGTTTTTTCTCTCAACCAAGCTTCGTAATGGCAAGTATAGATAGTTTTTTCATTCTAATCACTCAGAACTTTTTGCGGTAAGAATTTCTCATCTTCAGCTTTTCTCAGAGAGAAATGCGATTAAATAACCAAAGCGATAGTCTGCCGCGAGTTAGTGTCGTTAAAAATAATTTTTACGACGATATTTTTAGAATAATGTGTAATGTTGATACAGTTTGTCAGGCTCTGGTGACGCATGCGTTTGTAAGTATACAATGGATGCATTTTTTCTTTTTTTTTCATCGACGTGTAGCATTTCAAAACGACGCATGTTTTATGTTTATTAATTTTTTTTAAATCGCTTTTCAAACAAACACTTACGTGCGCGGTACGTCGGTAAGATTCTCCATGCCAGTTTCGGTGATCAGAACGTCATCCTCGATGCGTACACCGCCGAAGCCGCGGAATCTCTCGATATTGGCCCAGTTGATGAACTTCGCTTGTGCAGGATCGGCCTTAGCTTTTTGCAATAACTGAAATGAAAGAAGGAAAAATGAAGTACGATTTATTCGAAGTTGACATAGTAATGCGAGCATTTACCGAGAAAAACAGACGCATATTTTTCACAGATAATTTGTATTCATCTTCCTGAAGCTTTAGCGTCAATGGTAGTATTTTGCGAAGAATTTAATTAGTCACAAATTTTACCGACAATGCGGGTTTTTACCTAAAACGAGCGACAAGCGCTTCCGTTCATCATAATATATCTCCGTACAAAATAAACTCGTAAATTTTAACTAGTGTGCTTAGTTTGCATTGTTGATTCAAACGTACAATTTAAATAACTCAAGAAACGTTTGCATAATAAAGCCACGTTGCTTTGTTTTGTTTTTTTTAAACTAAAAATACGTTTGTTTTTATTTGAAATTATACTTTTTATCAATATAAAAATATATAAATGTACCAAAGAGAAATAATTTTTTTTTTTTTTTCAATACATTGTATTGTGTCACAGCCAATGAAATTGAACTTTAAATTCATTGTTCATTGAGAATTTAATTATTATACTTGATTTTTAATTCTTTATTTAGTCCCGTGGCAAAAAAATTGACGCAAAAAAAAACCCCGTTATCTGTGTTTCGATTTTTAAATCCAAATTATACTATTATTATCGAATTAAATACCACATTGACATATTTTTTGAACAACCTACCCAATCAATGAAGTAACATCCCGGCTCCACGGTGAGCACCATTCCAGCTTTCAAAGGTCTGGCGGTTCTCAGCTTGCTCAGTCCCGGCTCCGCGGATCTTTCAGGATGGCCGGGCAAGTAGCCACCGACGTCGTGAACGTCCAGACCCAGGAAGTGGCCCAGTCCGTGCGGTTGAAAGACCGCGTGTACGCCAGACCGGATCATGTCCTCGACGTCGCCCTGCAGCAGATCGGCCTTTTTCAGGGCTTCCAGCATCACTCGATTCGCCAGCAGGTGCATGTCGCTCCAGAGCACGCCCGGCTTGGCAGCTTGGAGCACGGCATTGCGCGCGTCCAGCACGGCATTGTAAACGATCTTCTGGTCCTCGGTGAATTTTCCGTTGGCCGGAAAGCTGCAGGTTATGTCGGCCGCGTAGCCGGCGTAATTGCCACCCATGTCGAATAAGCTGAAAAGGGATAACGTTCTGAAGCTCTCTATCTCTTGAAAAAAGCAAGACTACGAATATTTTTTGTCGCCTTCAATGCTCACCACATATCTCCATCTTTGAGAACCTTATTGTTGGGTGCTCCCGCGTGACCGTAATGAAGGATGGATCCGTTCTCACCGGAACCGCAGATGCAGGTGTAGGAGACGTGTCTGCAGCCACCGACGGCGTAGGCGTGATGCAAAAACTGGGCCTCGGCTTGGAATTCGGCCACACCGGGTTTGACCATCCGCATGACGGCTTTGTGAGCGTCGGAGCTTACTTTGACCACATAACGCAAAACTTCGATCTCCTTCGGTGATTTTATGACGCGGCTGTGAACGAAAAGCAACGAAATCGTTAAATTATAAATTTTTTCATTGGAAAAAAACAAAAAAAGTGTTGAAAAAGCTCATTCGATCGTGTTTACCATATAACGGCCTCGAATGCAACTATAATAAAGCCGCAAAAGCCGAGTCGTACTGCGACTTGAAATATAGCACCAACTCGCTGGGATATCGCTCGCAGCTCTGCAGGTAACGATAATCGAGCAGCATCACTCGAAAGCCTAATTTACGCAGATGTCGGACTTTCATCGCTTGATGGCCAATGAGTTTCGCCGAGTTCCAGCAGTAGTGGCTCGGCAGCAGCACCAGAATGGCCGTGCTCTCGTTTTTCTCCTGCAGAGGAAGATCGACGATCTTTAGCGGCTGTTCGGTTCGCTTGTGCGCGAGAGCGTCGATGCTGTAAAGCTCTGGCGGCAGATAGCGCAAGCTCACTTGTTTGCTGAGACGCAGGCTCTTGGCCTCGCAGAATTTCGACAGATGTTCCTCGATCCTGCCGAGGAGCTTGCCGATCTTGTCCGAGTTGTCGTTCTGCCTCGATTTATTGCTCTGGGGCAACGCCACGCTCCTCTTGTGCATCGTTGGGCAATCCAGACTCATGGCTGTGTCCAGCAGGTACAGCTGATCCTTGAGTCTCGCAGCCACGGTCGAGCCGTTTTGTGCGTTGATCTTGTCCACGAATTCGGCTGAGAATATCCTACTCGTACACTTGGGAAAGTACTTGTTGATGAAGGCACAGGTGAGCGAGACGTGCAGAATCTCGTCGGCCTCGAGCAGAATGAATCTCGCATTCAAAAAAGCCTCGGTCATCTGCCAGAAGCGCTTGCGATTCTCCAGCTCGAAGTTCAGCAGGCCCAGCAGGCCGATCATTTGAACGGTCGACGAGGGTGGCAGATTCGCGTAGTACTTCTCCAGATAACGAATGAATCTGTTGAGTATGTAGGGATTGCGCAGCTGTACAGTTTGGCAGTAGACAGCCAGAGACGACATGAGCGCGTGATCTCGACCCGTCAAGTTTTTCTTCACGAGAGCCATCTCCAAGGCGTGCTCGATGCTATAGCTTATGTACTTAGCCGCGGTCAGGCTCTCGATGAACGTCTGCAAGTCCGGCTTGGTGATCGTCTTGAAATGCATATTTGCCCATTTACCAATCGATTTCAGTAGCGAGGGGGACTTGGCAGTGAACGTGGATATGCGTATGATGTCGGTCATCTGCGAGGCGGACAATTTGCCGTAATTTTGCGCGAGTTTCTCTTCCAACAGGTACTGCATCCTGCCACGGCTTCTCTTCGTGTAGGGCAGCAGTTGGAACAGCGGCACCAAGTAGCGCGATCCAATGTCCTTCTGCTTCGTATCGAAGCCGATCCAGAAATAATCGATCGCTTCCTGATGCTTGAGGCCCTTGAAAGTGAGCAGCACGCGGATTATATCGATCAGCTGCTGAATGCTGAAGTCGCCGTTGGCCGAGCGCAGAATCGCGGCGTCGGTGAGAAGATTCTTGTAAGTATCGTTGGGCGACTGGTGCTTGTCCCTGAGCAGGGTGAGGAAAGCCTCGAGCACCTTCTGGCTCTGCGGACTGGCGACTATGATCTCGACCAGCTGAGTTATCACGGTGTCGCGGCATTCGCGCTCGCTCGGCGAGCTTTTAAAGTACTTGCGATTCTTGCGCTCGAGATTGATGATCTGCTTGAGGGACTGCAGGGCTACCTCGCTGTTCATCTGAAAGTGCTTGTCGATCACGGAGCTGATGTACATCTCCAGTGTCTTGTCGTGATGCGCGTCGCTGCTGCTCGTCTCTGCGATTTTGTCGGTCGACGAATCGAGCTCTTTTTCTATTTCGTTCGTTTCGCGTAAGATGTCGTTCAATATATTCGTCTTCCGTATGACTATTGGCAGCTCGTAAATGCTATTTCCTTCCTGCACCAGCATCTCCGTCCTAAGGAGCGTGTCCTGTTTGTGCCGGTACTCGTTGCTGCTTATGAGCCTGCCGCTCGATTTCAAATAAATATTATTCGAGCCGAGACAGGACAATTTTCGAATTATCTTGGTCGTCTGCATCTTGAATAAATCTACTTATACATAAATATTACTTGGTTATAAATAGTTGAAACAGCCGATTTGCATAGTTCGAGCTGCATCCATGTATTTTTAAAACTTAACACGCCTGCACGTTACGTAGCGAATTTCTGCATTGCGGAAAAAGCTAACCTCTGTTTTGCACTAATTCATCGATAAGTCTTGGTAAATAAAAGTTCAATGTCGAAACGATGACTGAGAATCGATGGTAATTTAAACTGGCACTTGGACTCTAAGCTCGATCACTCGCAACGACAACGACAACGCTTTTGTATTTTATGTAAGAACTAGGACACATTAATGTATTTGCCCCGTATGACAGTGTCTTCTGCTTTTCTACTGCTTTGCATCGATGCTAAACTGCATACTACCCACGTGATCTGTTTGAAAAGCAGACGATCTTCTGTGCACAGCCGGTAGGCTAGAAAGTTTGTTTACATCGGGCTAGTTTGGTAAGAGAGGCATCTACTTTATCGACGGTTTGTAGCTTTGTTGCTCCAAATGTAGGGGTCGATACTAAGCAGCTCGCTCGGGTTTGTTATTGTTTACAATCGTATCGATCAACATTAGTCATCAATGAATGAGCGAGTACAATAGAATACTGTTATTGTTTATTTTCATAGCAACTTGACATCGTTGCATATAAATGCTGCCGAACTGTGGCAATGCAATGAATTGTTTCGCCTTTGTTTTGACGCTAGCGCAAACATAAACAATCGGCTCTTAATGAATTATTACTCGCAACGTGGGTCACAAGTATAAAGTACAATGCGTAAAAATCGTTAAAAAAAATGCGTAGACATTTTTCAACGGCTAGATGCGCTTTTACTATTTTCTATAAGAAATTTGGTGAAAATTGGGTGAAAGTCCAAGATTCCCATCGCCCGATACGTTTGTGTTGGTAAACACAAATTCTATACGTGTTTTGGGTAAAAGCAGGTCAAAGCGTGTTATTTCGTTCGAAATTCATTATCAGATCATTTTGAATAGTTCTAAAACGAGTCCATTTAACGATCGATGAGATTCCTGGAAAATTCGTTCACCAGCATAAGCGCAACAATTACAAGTCGAGCTGTTCGTACAACCGTCGTCGTACGTAAACGACGCGATCCACGCTGCAGCAGCAGCAGCATCAGCAGCAAGACGTAGCTGTCTAAAAATAGCCTCTTTCATGCATATAATATAAAGTGCAGCAGTAGCGCATCGCTCAGGCCGAATATACTTGTGTCTGTGTAAGTGTGCCTGCTGCACGTATATTGCGGCAAGTCTCGTTGCAAGTAAACAAAGTTTGTGCAAAGTGCCGGCTCTGCAGTGCACCGAGCACTACTCCACGCTCAGCGTTCACCGAACGGGTTTCCGTGAATGAAGAGCGCGGTGGTGCAGGCGGCCGCGCATACGTCGAGCTAGCGCCTAGCGTGTACCATATATATATATATATATATGTATACATAAGCTCTTTCTGTGTATAAGTGCGAAAGTAGGACGGGTCGATTGTCATGTGTGTATATAAGTATACGTACACACAACTAGACTTATATAGCAGTAATAACACAGCTTGCGAAAGAGAACGAACATACGGCCATCTTTCAGTACAATAGCCCTTATAGTGATTTATTTAGTCTTTTTCTCCTTTTTTCCTTTTTCAAACGATGCGATGGAATGAAAAAGAAAAGATAATAAAATGGACAATAACGTCCGTAAGAAGTCGCGAGAATTCGAACGAATGTCGATATAAATGGAAGAAAAATGCCATTGAGCTTGCTTCTACTGCTGCTTGTTTTTAATGCAAATTGTCGTGAATTAATTTTCCACTTTTTTCTCTCCAATCCGCTTCGCTCGTTCGCTCGTTGTTGTTTTTTTTTTCTGTACACGCGCGTGACTATCTCTGGCGATTTTCTTCCATTACACATCGTTTATCAGCTATCAGCAATCAGTCTGAGCCGGCATGGCATAGTTTGTGTAAATTCGAGTTGCAAGCTCTGTTTACTCGATAACGAAACGTGTTTACATGTTTAAAAATAGTTATCCTTTGTTATTTTTTTTGTTTTCGTTCACGAGTGCCAAAAAAACGTTTCTCTTCTCGCTCCGTGTACCCCTTTAGGCGTCTTTACACGAAGTAGAAGAAAAAGAAGGAAAAAAAACTTGTGCCGAGTCGTCGAAATGCTAATCTTATTTATGACACACAGAGCCGACCGTTCAATAACATACATTTCACGGCGTTTTTCTTGCTTCGTACAGGGAACTCTCTTTGCGCAATGATATAATGAGTGAGAAGTCGGACACGATTTCACACTCACAGACGCACACAGTTTTTAATTGAAAACATCCTCCAAATTTCAGGTGACAGTCTGACCCTTTCCCAACGAGTTTGTCATTTACTAACTCTCACATGCCAGAAGATAATATACACACAGAGTCGTGTGTACATACACGTGTATACAGTTGAAATTTATATCAAAAACTAGGCCATTGTATTATAACATTTCAAACGAATTCATTGATCATCGCTGCAGCACGCGAGAGAGAGAACACGATGTGAGAACGCGGCGGCGTGTTTTTCTCCTCGTTTTTGCTTCTCTCCTCTTGTACGTAAATAAATGTGCTGCTGCTGCTGCTGCTGCTTCGTCCGCACACACGTCGTCTATGCATTATTATTCAAAATGACAGTTGCATAATGTGTCCGAGCATTGTGTGTTTGCCACGGATACATAAAGCAGTTCTCGAGTCGAATTGGATTAATTGTTTAACGTAATTTGTGCCAATTTACCTTTGAAACATATATGTACGCGATAAATTTGTCACCAATTCGGCAGCTTGAAGAATCTTGTGTTATGTTTTGTTTTAATATATTCCCAGCGATATGAAATTCAGCGATGATTGAATGGGTTGAGTGGTGGTCTCTCGTATATTACTGATATTTATGAGCTCGTGTCATTTTAATATTCTCTTTGTATTAGTCAACGTGTTTGGTTTTGTTCTCAAATGATTTTATCATTATATTAGAACAACTGATTATATCTGATTTATGTATACCTCGATTTTCCAGAATTGAAGTACATATATTATAAATATAAACTTATAGATAAGAAACTCACCATTCACAAAATTCCGGGTACAAAATGTCAAAATCGGTTTGGAATCTGTAAAATAAAACATAAAGACACTCGGTTAATAATAAACAAAGCAAAACAATAATCTAATCCACTTGTTAAAAAAAAACACCAGTAGTTTTGTATCATAAATCTATACTATCATTCATGAGTAAAATTTTTATGAGTATGGACTTGAGAAACGTCTCACATGGGGCTATAGTATTCATAAGAATCGGTTCGATCATTCAACCTAAATAAACAGCGATCGTCCGACTTTGCACGTGTATAAAGTCGCGCGTCAAAGATAATACGAAGCAGCAAAGAAAAAAAAGGAAAAGAAAAAGAATCACGTCGTACACGTCACTTGAATGATAGAATAAAATTGAAACGATCTCGATTGTTCTGCCGTGCATGCATATGTGTGTATGTCAGCGCGGCGTCTAGTGCAGCAGCGAACAAATTTTTTGTCCCGTAACAGTACCGATGTGTGTCGCGCGCGCGCGTATCTATTCGACGGCTTTTTTGCGCAACCAATATATCGCACTATACAATTGATGCATGAGAAAGAGAGACACACATAGCATGCAGCATGGAACATTTTGCGCTATAAGTACATGTGTGTATATTCATATTATGTGTACGCTCTGTGTGTGTGTGTGTGCGTATGTACTTACTTATCGATGCCGTCGAACGTTGCCGGTTGGGTCGTCAGGCCACTGTCGCTGTTGACTCCGCGCTGCAAATTGGTAACAGAGAAAATAAACGTTTAGTTTTTACGAGAGAGCCGAGAGAAAGAAGGAAAGATGCAAAGATAAATATACTGTATATACGTATATAATGCGTTGAAGCTTTTCGAAAGTAACGTCGCCGCGTTTATTAGCATTTTTTTTTCCTGATCCAATCTGTGTGCATACGCGAATTTCTGCACGTAGACATATCGTAGGCCGGGGAGATCGGTATTATAATAAACAAAAGAGCCTCATTTCAAATGTCGACCGATTGATTGGCTTAAAAATAGCGCTAAACACTCGGACTGATAATAATTGCGAAGGAGAAACATTCCACTTATATAGTGAAATCGTCCGTGAGCTCCTCGATGCTGCTCGTTAAATGGCAAGACACACACGCGCGCGCGGATCGTAACGTACGCCAGTTATATTTTGTTGCTTATCATAAACTTGAAGGGTTCACGACCTTCTTCGAATTAGCATGTTGAGAGAAGATATGAGAGAAGCGCCGCCGACTTGTTATACATATTTTTGAGTTCTCCCGAGGACTCCTAATAGATGTGTAGCCATTCTATATATCGCGCGAGCTCCGAGCTGTGTTGCACAACGTCTGCTCAATTAACGCAAAGTTTCACGTGTGTGTAATTTTGCAGTTATACGTATCCTTTTATACTTATATATGCGTGTACGCGATCGCAATGTTTCCTGCTTCGCGCGTATCAGCTGGCGCGTACAACACCGCGACGCGCGATCGATTTTTGCGCCAAATGGGTCATGTTGTCGTATAATTTTTGAACGAAAAAATCGGCAGCTCACCGAAGTACGCGTCGTAAACGATAATAATTTATTATTTCACTCAATCGCCCACAATTATATAAAAGAGCTAAGCAGTACAGTAGCAGCAACGAGCAAAAAAAACACGTGTACAAAGTTTCAAGAGTCAATGACATATTTTCCTTTTCGAGCAGTGGAGAGATAACAGATTGTTTTGATATTTTTATTGCACTCGCACACATAACATATGTATTTTACATACGCAAATATGTGACGTTTTTTTCCTCTGCGCTCGATCCAATGAGTCAAGCAATCTGCAATATCATAAACAAACGTTTAGCGAGAGAAGAATATATACGGATTTTTTATCTCGCTGCGAGCGAGAAAAAAATAAGCGAAAAAATAACGACCAAACGAATCCTTACTACACTAGGCGCGCGCGCCTGCGTTATCGCCATGATTTTGCTCTTTTCAAGGCTTATAAATCTCCATCTCCGGGAGAGAAGCTGTGTGAGAAAGAGAGAAAAGTAAAGAAATAAAAAAAAAGTAGCGTGAGGCACTGCACCGAGAGAGACGTTTTTCACTCGTATATAGTTGCAGTAAAAAAGGATCAACGTCGGACGTGTGTGCGTGTGATGTAAATACAATGCATTTTGTGCAACCGCGGAGATTTTAGAGCTGCTTCTGCACACAGACACGTCGAGTTGTCGTCGCGACGACGGCGGCGGTTCACGAGCTATCTTATCCGCGCGGGATTGTACACGACGACGACGACGATCGGGATTGCTTCACGCAAAAAAAATGTAATAAAGAATCACTGCATGCGTGAATTATATATGCCGCGTGTATTTGTATTTGTGTTTTTACCACCACGAAGTCACACGACCTACAGAGAGCTTCATCGTGCGCCAGTAACGGAAAAATCATAGACAGACGTAATTTTATGTAATTTTTAAAAGTCGATCGACCTACGACAAATTGGCCGCTTGTAATTGCCCATATATACAAGACGACCAAGAGAGCGGGAGAGAATAGCAAGCACGTTTACGAGTGTTACTTTGATAACTTTTTTTTTAACGTTGACCTGTTTATGATGCCCCTGCGTAAACGAGATAAGTTTGCGAATGTTTGCTTTCCTAAACAATCGACTTAAGCGACGAGCTATATGTGCAAAACTAGATAGGAGAGTTTTTAACTACGCCCGTTCATAATGTAGTTTCTTGCTCGCGCTGCGCAGCTGTCATTTGCCAAAGCGAAACATTGTAATACCCGCAGTATTTCAAGCACTCTGCGTTCATATACGTTGAATTTTCACTATCTTGCAAAAAAAAGAGAGACAAAAAACAGTTCGAAGTTGGTACACAAACGAGAAGAGATTATTGCTAATCTGTTGATAAGAGTTCCTATTTCCTGCGCGATTCGTTCAAACATTTGCAACTGCTGCGTACGTATACACACTGGCTCCATTCACGAAAAGTCTTCCGAGAGAGATACTTTTAAAGAAAACGGTACAACATTCGAATTTTCCAGACAAATATTTATGAAAAATTACCTCTTTCAAACTCAGCACGATGATGATGCATCGGGCGCGCGGCAGCGCGTGTTATTTGTTCTGGCAAAAAATTCCAATAATCCGTCTTTGCTTTTCTCGAATATACACACACGCACATATATCTCGAAACGTAAACACATCGCGCCTGCACTTTTAATTTTCATCTGTCGTATAATATATAATATATAAGGCGCGCGAGCGACGTCACGAGCTAAAGAAAAAACCATAAAAGTACTCGTGGTCGTCGTCGTGCTGTATAGTAATGTGTGCGATGCGCGTCGAAATACCTGTAATTTTCCCGCGTGCACGTCATGACACAAACCGCAGTCGCACGTCTATCTGAATTGGCCTATCGATCGGGGGGGTACAACGCGACTTCGTACAAGTACCTTCCACGTTAATGGCTCGTGTCTTTATTCGTGTGCAACGTACATCGCGTAATATAAATACCTATATGTAATAAGTGTACAAACGTGTAAAGAGCTTCAAAGGCATTTTATTTTTAACGCGCTACTATAATTTTATAATTATCTTCGGGCGGGCGGTATGCAAGCGCGCGCCCGTGCGAAAATATACATAATATAAACACGTCGTGCGCGGCAAAGTTTATTCAAGCTTTAGGCAGCAGGGAAAGCTTTTTTCTGCGCTGCATTTATCATC